ACTTTGACACTATTCATTTGTGTAGTACAAAGTATAGTATAATGAGCATAATATCTATGAGAGTTAGGCATCAGTCCATACATGACAAGTGTCTAGACAAATAGGTGGTTAAATGTCTTGTCAACGACATTTAAATTCATAGGGTTATGTGTTCAACATTATGGGTTCTGCTCGGCTCCGCAGTAGATGTGTTGTCACATCATTGTCTTGTCTTCATTTATGGCCTCATTTATTGTTGTACATTTGTGTCCCATTTGTGGGTTGACAGTTGTTCACGTCACATACGAGTTCGACGTATTGTTTGTTCTTTATATTGCATGTTCGACACATCACATGTTCTTCATATATCATATTGCATGTTCGACATATCACCTATTTGGCATATTACTTGTGCTTCATATTGCCCGTTCGACATATCACATGTTCGGTATTTTTACCGCCTTGAAAAATATGTTGTTTTTCTGTTTGTTTTTTTTGAGCGATTTGAGTCTTATTTGCTTTGACACGTGTTATTCATCTATTTAAGTTGTTATCATATTGGTATCAACAACAAGAGTAACAGTTACTCGTTGTAAATAAAAGAATTAAGTGGATTAATGGCTTCCAAATAAAGATTTTGGCTTCAAACTGAAATTGTACATTGCAGAGAGAGATCGTCGATTGGTAATGGTAGATTGATACATAAATAACAACATCTATAGACTTTTAGACCATTAGACTTTCAACCGCTACGTTCCACCTAAAAAAATAGTGATAATAATATATGAAATGTCACTAAATTGTACTATTACTAAGGGCGTGCTTGGACATATATATATTCATTCAAAACCGATTTTATTGGTTAATCAGAGTGAATTTTAAAAAATATGATATAGTTAATTGTTAGTGGAATATTGAATTTATATTAAAATAATATTTAAAATAAAATAGTTAAAGTTGATTTGATGTAAAAGTAAGAGATAAATGATGTGAAGTGATTGTTAGTTCAAAATTATGTGAGTGAATGAATACTGAGTTAAAGTTGATGTTATGTGTAAAAATGATTATTGTTATTATTTAGTTATGCTGATAATATTGAAGATAGTAGAGCTGAATTATTATTTAAACTTGAATTAGATTTTGTGTATCTATATATATATATATATATATAAGTTTGATTATTTTTTAAATAATAACTATTTCCCTCCAAAAAAAATATTTATTATTTTGGAAAAATAATTTAACAATTTATGGTATCTATATATATCTAAAAAGGTTGATGTAAAAATCATTTTTAGAAACTTAAAATAAATTGAGTTGACTTTTGACATTCTATTTATGTAATTTCAATCAAATTTTGAAAAAAAAAATCGTGAATAAGATTTTGTAATTGGTATTCCCGTTAATTAAGTATCAGATCCCATTAATTAAGCAAATCTGTTACGAAAATACACAAATTCCGTCAATTAAGGCATTATATATTTCCCTTTTTTTAGGGATGGATATACCTTTAACGTGATAAGATATATACATGTGATTGCATATTTTGTTGTTGCATCCCAAAAATCATGGAATTTAATATCTATCCAAATAAATCCATAATTATCTTATCACTTTTGTTAATAAAAAATTGTATAACAGGATATTCACTACCACCATTACAACTCATCATTCACGAGTTCAGAGAAAAAAAAATACAGAGAATAATTTTTCATCGCATATACAATATAACTTCCAGGCTGGGGTACACTTGATATATAATGCTTCCAGACTGGGGTACGTTAACAAAAGAAACAAACATTTTTTTGCGTCTCAGAGCCGTCCGCATTATTGAAACCCATCAGGAACGGGGAGCTATAACGCATTTTCATGATGAACAGGTAATATTTACCTTTGTTATTTCAATTTTATATAATTTAGAAAATTATTTTAATTAATATTTATAACAAACTTTTTTTGCGTCTGAGAGCAGTCCGCATTATTGAAACCCATCACGAACGGGAGAGAGCAGTCCGCATTATTGAAACCCGGAGAGTTGTAACGCATTTTCATGATAAACAGGTAATATTTACCTTTGTTATTTCAATTTTATATAATTTAGAAAATTATTTTAACTAATATTTATAACAAACCTTTTTTGCGTCTGAGAGCAGTCCGCATTATTGAAACCCATCACGAGCAGGCTGGGGTACGTTAACAAAAGAAACAAACATTTTTTTGCGTCCGCATTATTGAAACCCATCACGAACGGGAGAGCTATAACGCATTTTCATGATGAACAGGTAATATTTACCTTTGTTATTTCAATTTTATATAATTTAGAAAATTATTTTAATTAATATTTATAACAAACCTTTTTTGCGTCTGAGAGCAGTCCGCATTATTGAAACCCATGACGAGCATTATTCAAACCCATCACGAACGGGAGAGCTGTAACGCATTTTCATAATGAACAGGTAATATTTACCTTTGTTATTTCAATTTTATATAATTTAGAAAATTATTTTAATTCATATTTATAACAAACCTTTTTTGCGTCTGAGAGCAGTCCGCATTATTGAAACCCATTGAAACCCATCACGAACGGAGCTGTAACGCATTTTCACGATGAACAGGTAATATTTACCTTTGTTATTTCAATTTTATATAATTTAGAAAATTATTTTAATTAATATTTATAAATTTGTATCGTAGGATGCTTTCATTAAATGCATAATACGTTATCCGAATATGAGAGCAACAAATTTTATATAAACTGAGAGCAGTCTAATTTTTGTAAAATATGTAAACTTTAAACGTGTTTTATATATAAAATTTTATATACTTTTAAACATGTTAGTTGGGCAAATTTTAAGGATATATATGTGTGTGTTAACTTTAAGTATATATATTTTTCTTATAAAATAGTCTAGACAAAATTGAGGTAATTTCACATTTTTCAATAATAATATAAAATATTTTAATACTTTCACATATGTTATATAATAGTCTGCGTATTCTTAATGTCTTTTGGTTGTAACATTGTTAACACATATAATATTAGATACTTTTAAACATATTTAGATATTTTTTTTACTCATTCTTTAATATCTATGTGCATAAAAAGAGAATAAGATTTATAAAAAAATTTCCGGCAATATACTAAATGTTAGATAAAAATCTCATATTATTTATTATATAATATTTCGAGTTGCATTAATTTTTATTTGTATGTGTAAAATTGATAAACTAAGCGTATGAAAAGGAGCGTACGAATTACTGTAAGGATTTAAAAAATAAAAAATAAATCTAATTGTTGAATATTTTCTAAACGAATTTATGTCATAATTCGTCATAATTTTCCCACATCATGTCAATATTTATTTTGTCTATACTAGGTAAAAGGTAAATCATTATCTCAATATTTATTCTATATATTTTAAGTAAATCTTCTCATCTATCTCAACGGTCCGCAGGCAGTATTTCATACTTTTCTATTCATAATCAAATATACCAAACCTTCACAAATTTTACTTCACAAAGAAAGTGTTCAATAATTTATATTTTTTTTCCTTCTTTGCAATCCATTTATTTTTATTACATATATATAAATTATATTATTTTTAATATTTCACACGTTAAACATTTCAGGAAAATATACCATCCCGTGTATCGCACGGGTTATGCGCTAGTATTTAAAATGATCGCATATGGTAATTACAGCTCATTATTTAAGAAAGTAATTAAGCCATATTTTAATAAGATATCATAATTACTCAAATCATGTGAATTAATTAATATATGGTATATAGTGGACGAATTTATTTTTGGTATTGATAGTTGTTTCTATAGGAAATAAATTAATCAATATATGGTATAAAATGAATAAATTTATTTAGGTTATTTGATAACTACTTTTTTTTGTAGGAAATTTATTGAAAAATTAATCAAATACGGTGTACGTTTTTTCTGTAATGCGCAAGCTAATATATTGGTTTTTAGGCGTAAGTTCCAATTTTATTTCAAATTTTTGAATAAAATTAAATCGTAACTCTGACAAAATAATATGAACTGATATTTTGATATAATATGCGTGTATCAATATTTTTTTTTTAGAAAAAGCTCTGGTCAATTTTTTTGGTCTCGATTTAATTCATTTTTTATTACGACATTTCAAATAATTTTTGTGTGAAATGCACTGTTTATTTTTTTAGCATGATAAAGAGTGTCGGTTTTTTTTGCATAAAAAAATCTTATGATTGATTGCTTTTACTCAACTACTTAAATTTTTTGATTTAGATATTTTATACAAAAAAATACATTTTAATTAATTAAAAAATATAATTTTTATATTTATACTTATTATTCATATATGTTTTTAAATATATGATAAAATTTTACCAAAATAATTATTTTATGGAATCACGTTGTAGTCAAATCGAATTTTTGAATAAAAATTTTGAAATGACACATATTTTGAAATGCTATAATGTAATTTATTATCCATTATGTGCAACGCACAGGATTTGTACTAATCTTAAATAGACATTTTTATGTAATTGCACACGTTTAAATTTTATATAACATTTTCAATAAATTATATACGTACATTGTATTACATATTTATTTCATGTTTCTAATTTATAAATATTATTTAATGAAAATTTTTAATTTATAAATATTAATTAATATATCTTACCCGTGTATCGCACGGAATTCGTACCAGTAAATTGAATATGATTTGAATTGTTTTATAAACAAACACAGTCAAGGAGAAAACGTGAACCTTGTCTCAAATTGAGTGTTATGTGAACGGAAAACCACGCATCATCGCATCACCTACCCTCTCCGCCACTCATAATTCACTTATCATATTTTAACTTTACTTGGTGTTGCCTGTATTTAGTTCAAAACCCCAAATATTCCATTAGATTTTAATGCGTAGGATAATATTTCTAGTATAATGTATTAATCGACCAACTTGGCAACTTGAGAAGCCAATTGCATCTCTTGTCAACTTGACAATTGCAACTTCACATGCACCGACCAATCCGCCTTAATAAGTAGCCACAATCAGAAGGGACAAAAGGGAAAATAAAAATAAAAGTCTATGGAAATTACCCAACTTTATTCCCGCCATAATATCTTCCCTTCAACTCATTTTTCCCCTTATAATTTAATCCTCCAAAATCAAAACTATGTTCACTGGACTCAAACCCCTGAATCCCACATTTATTCAGCTGCAATCCCAGGTAATTAAGATTTTATGCTTCTATACTGTTTTCCATCTTTTTTCTACCAAAACGAATATATATTAATATATATCTCATTTTTTTATAAACTTTTGCGTGCTTCTTTAACAAAAGTGTATATATATCCATTAAAATATTATAGTTTTATTTATATATATATATATTTTTATAGTATGTCATTCTTGGTGTCACTCATTTTTTCTGCCTGTATGCTTATTGGTTAATGGGTTTATGTAGAAAGTACTACTAGTTTAGCCTGATTAAAAAGAAATGATAAATTTCAAAATAAAAGGTTCAAAATCGATTCATTATTTACAAATTCGAACCCATTGAAATTAATTGGAGTAATTGGTAATTTGAATATAGACAGCTTCTTGAGTGAAAATAAAAATCGTATATTTTCAATTTTGGACTAAAAAGTAAAAAAAGCAATCGGGAATTTGCAATTTGACCAAAACGGCGGGTGTACAATCCTGTGCGGCAGGTGTACAGAAAGAGAACTTAAGAGTGGAGGTCGAGGACTCGATATACCTCATCATCAGAACCGAGGCGGCGGCGGCAGAGTCTGGCCGGAGCTTTAATCGGAAATTCCGGCTGCCGCGTCGGGTGGACGTCGGGGGGATCTCCGCCGAGTACGTCGCCGGAGTCCTGACGGTCACGGTGCCGAGATCTATAGTGAGGAGGGGATTGCTCATTGACCCTGCTGACGTGTCGGAAAGCTTGCAGCTTCTTGCAAGAGCTGCTTGATATTTTTTGCAAATTTAAGCACTTTGAATGAAAATCGCAATTAATTTCGCCTTTTTAGACATTTGTGAGTGTGATTATGTAGTTAAAAAGGGCTTGAAAGTTGAAACTTGAAGAGGGCACCACAATTAAGATGAAGACCAAAACACTCGTTTGTTACATCGGTGCTGATAAAAAAAAAATTATATAAGTCAAAGTTTTTATTTTAAGCTTCATTGATCAATAAAAAATTATATTATTATCCATATTAATAACAAAACTCGTCACATACTTTTTATAGTTATGGTTTCTATAATTGATATTGTATAATGGACTAAATAATTTTATTTAATTGATGATATATAAATAAATAATTTCTTTACTAATAAAGGTACACGTTTATTTATGAGTACAACACGATGTCTATTCGAAATTCGATAAGAGATGATTAATTTAATATATTATATATTAAAATTTGATAAAAAAATAATAAAATTTTTAAAATATGTTCATAATTTAAGTTAATTTAGTATTTTATAATTTTAAAAATTTTAATAGACATGTATAAAATTTCATATAAAAGTATTTATTGTACAACTCGATGTCTAACTATCCTACGCATCAACTGTTGACCATAAATTTATTTCATTTATAAAAATTGTGAATGAAACTTATAACAGAAAATTAGCTTTTGTAACCTTGGTTCTTGCAACTTCAATTTGTAATTCAGTTTCAATGTTACAAAACTTTTGAACTCCAAATTGTTTAAAAGCATAAATTAATTAGTATAGTCTTATCTTAGGGTGTGTTTGGTTCAGTGGAGGGGAAGAGAGGAGAGAGATTTTAATGGAGGGAAGGGAGGGGAGGGTAGGTGATGTAAAATAATTTTACCTTGTTTTGAGGGATTATTTAAGAGGGAAATGAAAAGAAAATGGTAAACCTTGTTTGGTTAAAATATTAAAGGAAGGGAAAATAAAATTCAAATAACAAACTTACCCTTAATTAAATAAGATAAAAAATTAAAAACAAAAGTAGGGACTAAATGATCATTTCACGTGATATTAAAACACTTTCCCTCCAAATCCCTCCAATTTTGGAGGAGAGAAAAAGTAAGGGAGGGGAGGGAACCCAATTTTGCAACCAAACAAGTGAAAACTAAAATTCTCCATTTCCCCCCTTCTCTCCAAATCCCTCAAACCAAACATTAACTTATGCTAGAGAGGGGTCTTACAAAAGGAAGAAAAGAAAAACAAGAATTCTTTAAGTATTTTTCCCTATTTTTTTTAGTGTTTTGATGGAGACATAATTCTAATTTGTCGAATTTTATTTGATCTTGCTCTTGCATCTTAAGAAACATATGTTCATACGAAGCAATTCTGTTTTAAAGACATTGTGTTCTCACAAACCTCGATGTTCTATTATTTAGTCATATTATTTTTCTATTTTCCCAATAAATTCCCGAAAGAAAATGATTTCAAATTCTCAAGAATAATTATTTACACTACGGTCAAAAGACCAAATAAAAATTCGCAACTCCTATTTTCATATACTGCGAGTAGCTCCAAATATTCCTAGAAAAAACAATTCCACTCCCCTTAAGTGCTACAAACAGCACCTTGAAACTCATGCTTAACAAGCACATATTCTTTGAATGTACATTTCCCATGAGAAGAAACAAATAATCCATTTCTCAAAGATAAAACTATCTCATAACTAGGTTAAACTCCATGTTGAGCTAATTTTGTTAATACCCCTAATGTAAATCACAAACACCAGCAGCAGGCTATGAATGAAGTTTTTTCCCTTCAGGCACACTTGTAACGAGTTTGAGAAGCTCAACGACCTCTCTTAGTCTCATCTCTGCATTTTCTCTTCCCACCAAGTTCCTTCCTTTCCTGCTGCTCGCCCAAAATGACGATTATTATACAATCAATAAGAAAGTACATATAAAATTTTAATGAGACTAACCTCTTATCATTTCCTGCCTTCCTAGACAGGTCATCAGCAAGGTTGTTTAACCTCTTCAAAAGAGCTGGTGACTTGCGAATGGCATTTGCCCCATTTTCTATACCACATATTCTCTTCAAAAGCTCAGAGGCAATGAAGTATCCCTCCTCTTTGTTTCTGAATTAATAATCAAGAAAATGATTATTGTATTTTTTATAAATCAAAATGACTGAAAAACATATTTCCGCTATGCATGGCTTGTTTCCATTGTCGTGAAAAAGAAGTGGTCGATTTTTGCCATATCAAACACAAATCTCGAACGTTCATAGAATTCACTTCACCTTAAAAACTCCATGACAACAGTTTCCATGCATCCACGACTCTCAACGAGTATCTCAGTGAGTGCCGGATATCGGGCAAGGTTCCGAAGAGTCGATAATGCATGCTTCAATACTTGTTGATCTGGTATACTTCGGCTTACAGATCTTATTAACTTCAGTAAAGTGCCAATGGCGCCAGCAGCAACAAGTTCCTCACAACACTTCTGTGAAAGCTCTGTTGCCATATCTGTTAAAATCGGGCAAATGCTTCATCATGAGCAGATTCTTTTCTTTCTTATGCATAATTTTCCATAAATAGAAGTAGAGGAAAAGAAAAAGGATAAAAGAAACGAGCACCTCCTCGTACTACAACCTTTGTGATTATCTTCGTTTTTTTTATATTGAGTGCTAAAAAGTGGTTTTCGTAATCTTAGGAGTTCGAACGAAAGAAGAATAAATGAAAATTGTGAATGGGATTGAAGAAATGTATGCTTGTGTACCTAAAGTTGCACAAGTGTGCAAAATGTTGCTGACACTTCTCATGTTAAGAAGTTCTGAGAGTGCTGCAATAAGTCTGTTCATTAGACGCCTGCTTTCATCAACATTTGCAGCAGATTTTTGCATCCTCAACCGCAGGTCCAGAAGCTGATCTCTTGCATGTTTACGTGCAAGGTAGCCCTTCCAGTACGACTGCAACATTAAGAAAATTCAAGGAATAGTTTGACATATTAAAAGTTTTTCCCAATCAGAAGTATAAAACTCTAATTATTTTGTAAAGTTGTAGATTAAAACAGACCAAGCAGTAAATCAAACTATTGCAACACTGTTCACTGTTACATCAATCAAACTGTAGGAATGAATGACGCAGTTTATAACGTTTGTATATAACAAAGAGTTGGAAAAACTATTACAAAATTCATTCAGCTCAAGTGACAAAAAGAATAAGTAAAGCATGCACAGGCCAAAAGCGAGCTCACTTGAATCACAACCGCACTCTGCCGTTTTCTCTCTGCAGTTTGTCTTGCTATCCATCCACGAACATATGATTGGATAACCATCACCGAATTAGTTTTCTTTCTGACTTGCAGAACTTGCCTCCACCATCTTTGTAATTTCACAATCGATTGGATAAAAATTTGCAATTCAAGACCTTGGAACCTATGCTTCGAGGCCTTTTGAGGATGAGAAGCTCCTGCATTAGATAATTAAGGTTAAAATTAAGAAAAAATCAATATAAAAGCATTTTTTTTTAAGAAAAGTTACCAAGAAGCCTTTTCCTGGTGTTTTCCCCTCTGATAACACTTTGAATCTCAATTGCCATGTGCCTCTGGGAAACAAATGCATTACTACAGTTCATCTGACGGATGACACTTTGGATCTTTATTGCAGCATCCTTCTGGAGCAAAAACTCCTTCCTTTGTAGCCATCCACAGCAGAAGCTCTTATCCACATTTTCAACAAATAGTAGCATTAGCAACCATCTTTACAAATGGGAAACCAACAACGTTGTAACTTCTTTGCATAAACAACAATGTTTTACCATTGGGAAACCAAATAAATATTATCTTGTAGTTGCATGTCAACTGATTTCTGAAAAAAGAAATGGCACTCAACTCACAGATGTGAGTTTAAACAAGGTTATATCCATGTAGGATTGGTTGTTTCTTCCTTCTGG